GAAATCAATGTAGAGATTTTATCCCTGGCCACACTTGTCTTCATGTGCTACACATCCACTCTGTACAACTGCCACATTGAAGCTGTCCCTTAACCAATGACTTTAATTTGTAATCATGAAACACAAAATGCAATTCACAAATCAAAAAGGGACCCATTTCTATTGTTTTGACGATAATGACTTGGACCTCTGCCCAGGGGATTCAAAATCAATACACATCTGGAGGACGCCAAGTCCAACCCATATGCCAAACTTGAAGTTGATGGGACAAGTCCTATTTTCGTAGTTTTAACCTTGATAATCTTAAACACTGACCTATTAGGTTCAAAATCAATAGTCTTCCAAAGAACGCCAAGATCAACCCAAAATTAAGTTTGAAGTTGATGTCATATCCTTGAGGAGAACTTATTTCTTGCATTAAGTCACGCACCAATGTACACTCACACACAAATGGAGGGCCAGGCAGAAAAAGTGTGGCACTTCTATCTTGCTGGCAGGCCATTAAAAAAAAATAAGCCTTTTGCGAGTTAAATTTGAAAAATATCTGGTATACTGAGTTCTTTAAATTCACGAGAACATAATTTGAATTCTCCACACTAAAGAATCTGTTGCTATATTCAGGGCAAGCTTTTGCTTAGTTACATAAGAGACGCCTTGCATCAATACACTGTTCGCAATGGATATGAAAAGCACCAAGGAACCAGTCCACTCCAGAGATGGTGGTCGCTATACAAAAGCTTGCCCTGAATCACGAGGTATAGCAACAGTGCCTTAAGTCTGGTGAATTCAAATTGTTATGTTTATGTGCAGTCAGATGAACTCAGTGTACCAGATTATATTCAAATTTTACTCACAAAAGGCTTATTCAAATAATTCATTATTCTCAGCTTAAGATGAAAAGAAATATAGTTTGCACTTTGTTTCTTGACAATGACAATTTTCACTGCGGTTTAAAATGCCCCACGCATAGTGTGAGGCATGCATCACGTACAAGCTTAATGGTATCATACCCTGTTGGTGACAGTATGTGACTCGCCATCCAGTCTAACCAGAGTCGAGTACCCATCTGGTAGGGCATCGCATTCTTCTAAGTCATGAGGGCCGATTCCAGGCTGGCTGCCGCCTGGTACAGGGTCAGGGTTCTGGTTACAAATCAAAAACATGTGCACATTAAAATTTTTAACCTAAAGTCATCTCTGTCTTTAACAAAATTTGTTCCGGGCTGAATTTCAAGATTCCAAGAGGAAGGAAAAAATTGGTTTTTGTATTTTGATGTGAAATGAAAAATCAGTAAAAAATAACGATGGCATTTCAAATACATGTAGGTAGCCAGCTTTGACTTTGAAACATGTCAATGGATTTAATACATGTACATTTTTATGCTGAGTTATTCCATGGCATTACTTTCAACACGAATAATACTTACTCTTCAATGTGTTCTCTTTCCAACTTTGCATTTTTTTTCCATGGTTAAAAAAAATCCCAATGTATGGATTGAAATTTTTGCTATTTCCCAGAGCGTATGTCCCTGAAGTTCGGCCTTGAACCTTCATGTATGCTCTCACCAGTTGGTCAGATGTAAGATGTGCAAGCCTATCATGGATGATTCGAGCCTGATCTTCATCAATCACGTACTCCCCACGGTGATTGCCGACGACAACCTCAGTCCACATGGGACCCTCATCTGCCTTTGCCAGAGTTACTTCCAGCCTTAAAAAAATCAGACGTTAAAATCATCCCACTATTACATATTTCTGTGATGTTAAAAGTTGAAAACAGCACTGAAACAGGAAGTTAAAACTGGTTTATAGGACTTCTTTTCAGTTCTATAAAATTCAGTTTTGGGTTTTGTCACATTGGTTTTGCCCCTAAAGAGGTTTATTGTACTTTAACCCAAGCCACACTCCATGCAACAACGTAAAACAATGGGCAAATTTTTTTGGATTTTATTGATCAAGCAGGTACAACAGCATTTTTTGCGTTAATCCCAATAGTTCCGCATAAAATTGGCTTTACAGTATTTAGTGCTACAAAATACTAAGCAGAAGTCTGAGCCTGTAGGACTTAGCGCTTCTGGCTAGGGCACCCTCCATCGTTGCTTGTACAGAGAACAATAAAGCCATGCATTCATAGTGCCACAGCACTGTATGGTACATTGTCTTATCAATTGTATTTTATGACTTCAGAGAAGAATAAGGTCATGTCCTCTTACAAGCAACAGCACCGTACACTACATTTTACTACAAAGTAGTACTTTGTAATATTCAGGGCCGCTAGGGTTAATGCTTCTTGGATTCTGATGTGTACTGAGCTGGCTGCCATGCAAAATTCCACGTGGTCAATGCACTCCAATATTCCTGTTAAAAAAAGTGGCTATGTTTATTACATGGCCCTCCACTAACGGCCACACCACTTTAAGGGAGAAACTGTGTACACTTCAAGGAACTGTAAAGAAAACTGGAGGTCAACTTGGTCCAGCTACTGAATGCATTACACTGATTAGCAAAGCTGCATACCACAATCCTCTTGAGTACACTGAAGTGTACTTCTATTGGGCTGTGCAGTAAAATCACTCCACTGGTAATGCACGCCAGCTGCAGGGCACTGGCAGGTACTACTGACTTGCAGTAAATTGCTCTCGTAGAGCAAGGGTTATTAATATATGACAGCTCGCAGACAAAATTATGTGTGTGTTAACGTCTGCCAAGTGACACGTTACAGCAAATGTCATGTGATCATCATTCTCACAGAGCCTGGTGCATCAAAATTGGACAAATGAAGTGTACCATATTTTTGTCATGCCGGTCACTGTGGAAATGCCAGCCATGCTACCTTCTGTTTTCACCAAACCAATCATCATCTCAGGAATGTTTCACAGAAAATACAACATCCAATATCCTGGAATGTCTTTTTCTGCTTACTTTCGATTTTCCAGTGTCCACGTGCACAGCTGTACGTCAACGGCTCTGTAGAGGGCGCCACTGAGCAGCTCGTCACCATTCTTGACACTGAGCTGCATGGTGTCGGGAGTCAGCGTCAGATTAACAGCAGACTTGGGTGTGGACGGAGGAAGAATAAAGACGAGAGTCACATCGTCATCGGTTTGAGTCCATGTGTACTGAGGGTGTGTTGCTAGTGAAAAAAGACAGAGATTTGGTTGATCAATATTTCTAACTCCATACGAAAAAGTTGGTGTCGTGAACCAGTGTGGGAAGGGAGCATGTGTGCGTGTGTAAAGGACATGGTTGGATCCAGCCACATTTTGTGATGGTGAAAACGGACCCTTACTATTGGTAGAAATGTCAGCATCTTTCTCCTTTATGTCTTGTTTCTGGTCTTCTGTAGCACTTTTGGCTGAATCTTCTGTTATCTTAAACTCTGCTTCCCCAGCAAGGAACAGCGCTTGGCCGGTTGCTTCCACTGCAGCGTAAAAGGGGGCCAGTTTACTCTTTAACTTCCGTCTGCGACTGACTTGATGTGATGACGCACCTGCCCATAAACACAAATCAAGACTTCTGCTATAATGCCACATTTTTAAATGCAACTGTTTCTCAAGGCAAAGGATATTTTACACGGTGAAATTGGAACAAAAGCAGTGCTTGACCAAAGGGGAAGGAGAATGGCAATTAGAACTTACGTTCCGCCTTGTGACAATGACAATCAGTGTTGTCACGAGTCAATTTTTCCACATCAAGACACCATTTTTTTGCCTTTGAGTCTAAGCACCGTCGATATATCGATATTATCGATATGGGTTTGATATCTATATCGCTGATGTTAGTAATTTGGTAATATCGATATATCGAAAATATCGGATTTTGTTGCATACAGCCCTGCTATATGCAACAAAATGGAACACAACTGACATGAGAACCATACTCAGTGCAACAGATTGCAACACAGCTGAAATGAATGTGAGAGAATGCATCAAAAAGCACCGGTGGCCATTGTAGTACCTTGCACAGCACTGCATCAACGCTAACCTTGGCCCCAACAAGTCACACAGTGCACTCAGCCACTTGGGATCACTGCTCAAATGCAACCAAACGCTGACGCATTTTGTTGCAATCACCAGTGATAAGGTAGCCTACCTTGTGGTTTTGACATTGTCAGCCAATCTAGTAAGGCAGCAAAATTGCCTGACGTCCTGGCTGTGCTTGCTTCACATTCATCTCCTGTTGTACGGTCCTGCTCCTCCTCGATTCGTAGCAGTAAACAATGAACTGATGCCGAGTCCGCCTGTGCTACTGAGTGGAGTAACACGAAGGGTGTTGCCGGACCGCAGACCTCTCCACTGTACAAAACCTGTGGCAAATCAATGACAACAAAGGGCTGTGAGCAAGTTACTTGCAGCATTAACCCTTGAATTCAGCTTGAGGTGTAATACGCTTCAACATAGCCATTTACTTAAACAGAACATTTAAGAGCAAAGGCTATTCAGCATAACCTTGACCAACTCTGCAAAGAAGCATCTTGAAGCAGTAAAGAAATGTTCTGCCACATGGGACATTCAGAGCACAGGGGCAAAGTTAAGCGTCCAATGAGGACGCATAGTAAGTAGCAGCAGTGCAATGCAGTCCCAAGAAGACAGTCCAACACTGGGTGATACCACTGATCCAAACCATACTAAATGCAACACCTGTTACAAGCTGTTTTACATTCTTGGATCTAAGGGTCAACATAATGTGGCACGACACACTGTGTATGTACACACAACTCGTGTTTTGTGAAACCAAATGTGCTGTTACATTTTGCTGCATGCAGCAGAGACATTATTACAGATGTGTTGTATTCAGCAGGGATCTGATTGCAACTGTGTCAGGTTTTGTTGCAATCAGTAGGGTTCTCACTGCAACGTATGTCAGGTTTCGTTTCACACAGATGGTTCTCAATCCAACATTGTAAGATTTTGACGCACTTTAGATGCACTAACCTGCCACGTTGACAGCTCAGCACAGTCTCTGTCAGCTGTGGCGAGTAGGTAAAGCGTTCCGGCCCCATCTGCTAGGAGACAGAGTTCAGCAGATGGGAAGTGCAGTGTGGCGTTGTGCCTCGGCCTGCTACGCTGCTCGCATTCGTGGCTGATCTCAAACACCACCCTGCCAGGTTGAAGCTGGGACTCCTGTGTATATCAGTGTTGTGGGAAAGAACAGAGTATCACAAGATGTGGCAATCTTAATCGGATTTTTAAGACTTGCACTATCAACCGCCCAACAGAATATCAAACTAAGATACAAGTAATAAATGTCTATAAGTACAATGGTAGAAACAATCTCACCAGCAGGGCTCTATTCCTAGAGGTGAAGCTGATGGTAACAGAACATTCAGATTGTCAACCACTGAAATTCTTCTTTCCATTGCAAGAATGTGAAACATTCATTAGTTGTTTGATACAATGCCTGAATAAATCATTTAACTTTGTGTAACAAGTTGCCGTTTTACTTCACCCAAGTTAAGTAATAAAACGGGAGGTTTTCACATTCCATCTCAGTTCAAGCTTAAACTAAATTATCCCATGTGTGGCAAGGAATTTATAACTTCTTTCTATTATAAGAGCTTAGCCATTTACCTTCTGATTTCAGAAATTCTCTAATCGAAGAGAAGAAAAATTGTTTCTTGCATTTCAAATTCATCAGCATCATCCAACATTTTATGTTTGTGTGAAGAGCTTCCCATTTGTCTACTGCGTGCAATGCAATGATCTGTCTGCGTGTGATTAGGCAAACCTAGCCACGGGATGGATGGGTTCACGGCACATTGCACCAACATCATGCTGAGTGGCTTAACTTGTACTCGACAGGTTTAGCTGTTAAATTTGACGTTCTGTGATCTTTGTAGAGCAACGTACATGTACAAATGCTTGGTACTATTATTATTAACCACTTGCTGGCAGGTGCTTTCATTTCATTTCATTTAATGGGCATTTACACCCACACAAATGACTGCTTGGTGGCTACTCTAAGCCGACAGGCAACCTACATTGACTGCCGAGTATTTCAGCCAGGCCTACCGCCCTGTAAAGAGAGCCCAGAATTTGTGAGGGGTTGCGAAATTTCCTTTGTTCCAAGTGAATGTGAGTGGTGCCTTTTCAAATACGGCTGGATTAGCGTGCAGGGGTGCAGTGTTGCTCATTAATGGGGCCCTGCCCTAGAGCATTTTTGTCCGCGGTGCTAATCCGCGGGCGCGCTACATGTATACCCAAAACAGTGGTATGCTGCTTAAAAACAGTGACGGATTACCTTCAAAAAACGCAAGCCGAAAAATGATGGCAATTCCTAACAGCAGGTCTTTTGTTCCGAGTACTGTCTTTTGTTATACGGACCAGCTCTTCTGTCCCATTTCGGGCAGCCTGGCTCTGCGTATAAACCCAGTGTGCTCAAAAGAAGGTTCCCGGCAGCAAGTGGTTAAGATGTTTGAAATCCTGCCTCAGTTTCTTTTTTCTTTGAATCACTTCAAGCTTTACCAGAACAACTCTGTGTTGAATCACTTTCCACTCCTGATCAATGTAGTACACACAGTTGGGGTTCCACTGGTCATGAACCAAATGGTTGTGAATGCCAAATGCCTTGACATGCTGCAGGGTGTACTGATCGTTACGAAGCTTCACTTCATCAATGCCTAGAAAATAATTTGATATGACAAGTCAACGACAAAATGACACTAACATGCACTGGCAGAATTGTTTTGAAACTCTGCGTTCACACTTTGAAAAGAAAAACCAATGCATGGATGACATCACAGCAATAGCGCCCTCAGTTGTCCAGGAAAACATGGACAATTTTGAATGTTTAAAGAAGTGCACTTTTCCACACACTTAACCAAAAGGAATGCCAAATAATGGCAAATTTTCCGTTGAAATCAATCTGAATTGTTATATAAAGGAAACAGTGACTATCATCTCGTCTGATGGGCATTTCCAATTTCAACTGAATGTTCTCTTTTCATCCCGTATGTGACTAAACTTTACGGTAAGGATTCCATATACAGAAAACACTCACTTTCCCTTAAAATATTATAGCAGCCTTCAGAAAGTGATAACACGTCCTAAATAGTGAAATTTAGTTAAGAAATTTCTCAAGCAATTACTTAAAAAACACTTAGGTTTGTTTCAGAAAAGTCTGATGGGTTTGTGCACAGTAACATCAAGTGTTGTCTGCAATGTTATAGCCAGCCATACATGGATTTTAGTGCAGGAAATTTAGTAATGGCGAACGGAAGTGGCTGGAGTCTCATGTGTCACAGCCAAGGGTCATGAGGCCCGTTTAAGGGGCTCTAGATTGCTTTTCTGGCAAGTTTTTCTTTCCAAATGGATTAAGAGTTCAATATTTAAACTTCTTCCAGGTAAAAATATGAAATTTTCATAGGGACTAATTTTTTCTGGGCTTTTTATGGATTTTTGTGCCAGTCAGAGGGCTGCTTCATCAAGCTTAGTGCCAGACGGTAGAACGCTGTGGTGGACCTCCCCAACCGGCACTGACCGACGTAGCTAGAACACTGGTTGTCCATATATGGAACTCTTTCCAACCTTACCACCAACATGCACTACTGAGTCTTGGATTCCCATGGAATCCTAAAGAAACTGGGTGCATTACAGTTACCAGACCGGGTAAGAGTTCCATAAACGGACAAAAAACCTACTAGTATGAGACTTGTCTGAAAAAAACGAAGTGTTTTCTAAGTAAATGCTTGGGAATTTTCTTAACTCAATTTAACTTTTTGGGACTAGGCCCTATTAATTATCACTTTCTGATGGCTGTTGTAACATTTTCTGGGAGGGTTAATGTTGTCTGTATACCTACACTATAGACATAGATATAGGTCTAGAACTCATCCCCAGGAGTATTTGGGGGCAAAATCTGAGGATTTCACTTTGGCATGTTCGGGTACGAGTAGTCCGAGTAACTGGACCCTTTCGCCCGACCACGTCCACATGTTCAAGTAAGGTGATTTTTAGGGTCCAAGTCACTCCGCTTCTGTAGGTCTTTGTGGTTTTAACATGTCCTTCCTCCATACCTACCACATACTACATCAATGGAATACGTTGGCAGTGGATCCAGTGACAGCTTATAACCATCAAAATGCGGATCCAGGAGGTCGCGATTGGCTTGCAAGGTGTCTGTACACATTTTGGGCTGATGATGGACGTCAATTCATGGTACTTCCATACATAGTCCCGTCCGTTGATGCTTCTTAGCGTTGAGCTTTCACGTGTACTTAAGTATGTACTTCGGGGTCAGTCTGGCTTTCAGAGGCTGGTGAGGGCGCTCTTTCAAAAGTCTCCGAATTAATTTTTCAGAGGGCAGTATGGTCGAATGTACGAAAGCCCAATCGTGCCAATAAAGTATAAATTTTCAGCCTGACACTAATTCGTTTTAACGAATTTCTAATTCGAAATAACGAATTACTGATTCATAATAACGAATAACTAATTCGTAATAAGGAATTACTAATTCGTAATAACGATTTATTAATTCGTTAAAATGAATTAGTGTCAGGCTGAAAATTTATACTTCATTGGCACGATTGGGCTTTCGTGCGAATGGTACCAGAGTCTCATGCAACTCCCCCGAAGCCGTCTTTGATGGTTTCATGTATCTGGGGGTTAAGGTTTGTGAATATCGCACTGGACTGTTTTCGATGGTACAGCTGATCTGAGGGACTTTGTAGAAGCAGTAAACTAATTCGAACCCAACCGAAAACAATGTAATATCAACAAAGTTCCTGGCTCAGTAATTAATATCCAAGCCGACATTTCTGTTTTTTCTCAAACAGAATTTAAAATATTGTCTTAACCTTAGTCTTTCCATTTCTTTTTCAATTTTTGGTGAGTACATTTTTAATTTTTCAAGCAAAACAAACTTACCCCTAGTAAAGTGATACTTTCAAGGCTACTCCCCGCTTTTTTTCAGCTTCCCTCTACTTTCTCAGGCACTAAGGAAAATTTTCCATCCATAAGTTTAACTCATGCTACCGGATGGAAGCCCCGAAAACCAAGGGATTTGATCCTGGCCTATATTTCCATGCCCTCATTTTTTAAATTTTGTGGGGAAGGGATGCGTGTAAGGAATACGAACTCGGTACAACTCGTACAAAGGCCTGTTTTGTGAGTTGTACATGCATTGAATTGTCTGACTGGTTTAATTACATCATTTTGTCAGTGTCCCACTTACCTCATTTCGCTGTCTCAGTTAACCAGGCATTCAGACAGAACTATAAGATAAGGCCATTCCTACTTTGGCGCCATTTTTGTTTTGTACACCCTAGGCGGCAAAAAGAACCAAAGACGAAGCCCCCAAAACACGTCTATCACGGGTAGAGTAACACTCTCTGAGCACAGCACGCAAAGATATGTTTATGATGGGCGTTGGTTTTTATAGAGTGTATGAAACCGCAGTCTTTGTTTTATCAATACACAGTTTTCAATTTCCTTCTGTCATCTCCGTTTACCCATAACTGGCCATTTGATCATTTCAAAACAGAAATTCTCAATGAAAAATATGTCAAGTTTGTATGTTTGGATTAACCTTCCAGGGGTACCCATTTCCGAAATGCGTGTTTACTGCCGCTTGATTGTTTTTAAATGCTTGATCCATCACTGGCCAGAGAGGTCTGCCCCCCCCCAAAAAAGCGGGAAAGTGATGAAGTGAACTCATTCAAAACAAACGAGAAACCTTCTGAACCGTGAAGATTTCAATAACAGAGAATGTCCCCAGAAACCCACGAATGTCCAATCAGTAAAGTTTTTGATTTTCCAACCTTTTCGGCGTCAATTGACTGTAGATGTAGCTGCATACGTCACAGCACCACGGTCGTTCAGCACTGTCAGTGTAGGTGCAATGTTACAGTAACGTGCATTACATTTTGATGGTGATCCGACTAAACTTTTTGCTGTTATTTCACATCTTCATGGACTTAGTGGTCAATAATAAAACGATTTAAACAAAGTTACTCTGTGCCTCATTGGCCGCACCTTTAATGCCAGAAAGGGTTACAAAAAGGACATTACTTGCTCGACTGTCCATTTTAGAACACAAGTCAAATATTGTCAAAATATATATATCCCTAAACTCTCAGTCGATTAATATAACTATTCTTCTGTCAAGTACGTGCGCACAAACCATCGCATCGATCATTCCACCAATATAGTTTCTCTGCGTGAAATGATAAGATGCCATCAAATAGCATTGTCGCAAGACTTCCTTTAAAAGCAAAGCAAGCATTAATGAAATAGATCCAATTAGGAGAATTATTACACGTTTCACACTTTGTGACATTCTTTTTAGAAGCACTTGTTGATTGTTTCCAAGGAATTGCATTAAACTTGAGGGTCACTTATGCATCTGTTTTAATTTAATGTTGTTGTTCTAACAACATTTAACAAAGCGAATTGATTATTTTAATAATTCCATTGTCGATCCCCCATCCCCTCTGCTATTTTAACAATAAAATCTCTATAAAATTTTCATGATACTAAGTTTATCTTCAATTAGCCGTTAACTTACAGTTTACAAGTACATTCATATTTACAGTATTTAGAGTCACACACTATACTGCCGTTCTAAAACAGATAAAACCAATCAAATACATATGTATGCTTTTAAACATCCGGGGAGGATAAAGAATGATTATTCTAATGCAACAGACGGTCTTCGGGGTGTCGGCCATCTTGAATTAAAAGTCCACTAAAACTTTTCATTTTGGCAACCGACAAAATAAAAGGTCATAAAATTCACGCCAGGTTTTCTTCAGAATAATAAAGAAATATGTCAGAAATTATGTCTAGTCGTTTTAAGCAACATCCAAAAAATGATAGTGAGGCATGGAACGCGAAATATTCTGGCACCACCCCATTGAACAGATTAAATTGTACATTGAATAGGATAGATTTAGGGAATAAGAAAAACATACATGCGACCCCGTGAAAAATGACATGTCACACTAGTCCCTTTTAAAAACGATCAAGCGTGCAGCTTGTGCGTTTAGCCAGACAAGGTGGATTGATGGCTTGGGGTTCTGGGCGCCCTCTTTCCCAACACCTTCAACACCTCATCTCGTAATCCCTATTAATGGGACAGTTTGCAAGGTTGTCTCTGAAATGCATAACTATATTGTACATGCATTTGTTCCAACAAAATCGTCCCATCCGTCAATGAACTTACTCCACAAAAAGTGGTTACATGTAGGTATTTTTTTTAAGTGTCTTAAAAGTGAAAAGAGCTCTGGTAATTCCCTTCAGTGACGGCCTCGTATGAAGGAGGCGGCGGTAAGTTATCCGTGTCGGCCTGTGACAGTGAGTCTGCAACTATATAAAGATTTCCTCGCGTTGGATCCATGTTTTCGGCGTAAGATGGTGGCGGCGGTAAATTGGCTGAGTAGGACGGTGACTGCGAGTCTTCGACTTCGTAGACGTCTCCTTGCGCTGAATCGGCCGTGGTACGCCAGTTGGAATAGTCGTGGGACGGCGACCGTCCACCGTCTGACTCCCAAACAGAAGCACTGAGTGCTGGTACCGATGCACTCCGACGGCCAACCTACAAAAGTAAGACACAAGGTAAGAACCAGTGGACAGTGTTCTTTCCAAAATCTCCGTCCGTCGCAAAGTGATTCAGACGCGGTCTGTGACTCAGACCGAGGAGGCTGTCCAAGTTGGAGTTTCTTGCATGTTTTCTTCTTATGCCTCGAAATTTTCATATATGAGACATGTATGTACATACATGTTAAAAGATGAATTTCGCATTGACACCCATGGAACAATCACTTCGGGTATTCACTCTTGAGTCGCATTTACAAATATTTGGAAATTTTCACTGTAATTTTGTGCTTCGTTTGACTTCTCGTGTGGATCACTTTCAGTCAGTTTATTTCAGTGGTGCATTTTCGTTGGTTAATAATGATAAATCTCATTTTGAATTAACAGTCCTTTGTAGGTGTTGGTTATTTATGAGTGGATTTGACAGACATTAGGAAACATTTACATTGAACTTAATTCCATTTTTTTTTGCAAGCAGTGATAAACGCCGGATGCAAGAAGGACTGATGGTGGAATATGCGTGGTGTTGTTATCATTAAAGTTTTATCTTAACTGTTAGTAGTTTTCCCACTTACGTCGCCTGCCTGTTCATTGGAAGGTGGAGTTAGCTGTGGAGATGCCGGTGATAGGATTTGAATGGAAGGAGGGGCAGGATTTAATGAAAGGGAGGCCGTCGAGACATGAGTGGTTACACCTGCTGCCATCTGGTTGTCAGGCTTCTTCTTCTTTTTGTGGCCTGCGATCATAACGACAACAACAGCTCCAGCAACACCGGCAATGTACCATTGAGTATTCGATCCTGGTAGATGAGAAGAAAAAGAAAGAACCTTGACTTTTCATCCACGTCTGGGAATTGGTCGCTCATGTCGCTCCTCCCCATCGCCTTACAGACTGCAGCTTTCTGACATATCGGTAATGTTAGTCAAGCACTTACTGGATAAAGGGGCGCAGGACACTATACTTCGAGTGATAATTTATGCTGAGTTCATCATCATGAAATTATTCCACAACTTCTTTGAAAAGAGAATGCTTGGCCCGAAAAAAAGGCAAGATAATGTAAATGTTTGCCAGGACGAATTCCCTGGTTTGGGGGGCTTTCGTCCAAGGGAAGAGTTGATGACATCAATTGCCTTATGTGCCTGAGACAGTAGGCCTAAGGGGATACCAATTTGAAAATAACCGTTCAAAGGCTTGGGAGCTGTCACTTTTGGGGTGAGTTTTTATTGCGTGAATAATTAAATATGTAACTGGCTAACCTACCAAAGACTGAAAAGTAATGGAAAGATAAAGGACAAGCTATAATTTAGTTTTTGTTCGAGAAATCCCTGTGATGCTTGCATGCATGTCATTGTGCCTTGAACTCTGTTAAGTTCACTGTTTTCAATGAGGCTCATTTAAACAATACTGGGACATGATTTCTTGACCCGACCTACATGTATATGAACATGTTTCAGCTTTGCTCATTGTTTAAACGTTTTCGCGACTTCGGTTATGCCTCTGCGACGTCAATCTTCCGACCGAACGACAGCCAAAGGTTAGAGTTGGTTCGCCGCCGTCACAAAAATAAACAGATAATTTGTCGTCCTTCAAACATTTAAAAATCTGTTGTTACATGCAGTGAATCAAAGAGAAACTTTCTTCTAGACCAGACGTGAAAAGAGATAGCACCACTGACGAGAAACATGGCGAATATTGATTGAAAGTGATGTTCATCAACAATGTCGTCTGCTTCCTGACAGATGACGTAACCGCTTCTGGTTCTTCGTGTTTGTGGGCTAGGCTGCCCTTAACATGTTCCTGGTTATTGCTTTGACGTCACAAACATGTTTCTGGTTAGGGGAATCCAAAACGTGCGCTAGATAAAGTGCATGTGCGCGTGAGATGTGCGTATGGGAGATATTGAAGTAGAAGCCCACATTTCTTTGCTAGCTGCGACGTACTCCTTTCGCACAAATCTGCTGTGATGCCGGTTTGGCTGCAAATTTTGCTATGATACTTTCATGGAGCTGAGTTTACCTCGTTCATTGCATCTTGCACCAGCATCATCTTGGTGGGTGCAGTTGTGCACCAGCCAGCCGTTGTGGCCACAATCGACCAGTCGGGACTCATCACCCGCACAATCCACGTTATCCAGGAGGATGGGGCCGCTCCCGTTGCCGAAGCGGGCATTGGACTCTGCTGACGACGCCCCGTTGAACCCAAGCTGATTGCAGACCACGTTGGCGTCGTCAATGTCCCAGTCGTCATCGCATATAGTTCCCCACGCACCGTTATGGTACACCTCAACTCGACCTTCATTGTTTACATCTCCAACTAGGCGTAGAGTTCCGGATTGTGTTTCTGAAAAGTTGCAGGGAACAGGTACTTTAGTACTTTTTCTAGGATAAAAACATAAACGTTGAATAAATGAGTTTAAAATGTGTATTTTATTTTAACAAACAGTTTTAGGGGAATATTGGTTGTTTCTGGGACAATCTGCCTGCACTTGCATTTTCACCATCATCAGTTAAAATAATAACGTGTTCTTTAATAAGGAACATATTATTTATTTTTTATTAAAATAATTTTCACGCAACGGAAGACACAGTAATTTACCCCTTCATAGTTAAGGATTGTACCCTGAAAATTAAGCAAATCTCACAAGTTTCTAGGAAGTTCTGATCCGCACAAACGCTGGTATCTATACCAGTGTTTCAAAAGCTATATCAACCTAATAATCTCTCCATGCTGCGCTAGTCTCAAAAAGTATTCAAATACATTAGCAAACTGTAAGATTTGAAGCTTTGCATGGTGGATGAAACATGAGAAATGGTTTTGCGGGTACACCATGGAATCAATCTCTTTTGGACTCTCCTGAGGACGGCTAGAGCACACTGGCCGAAACGTCAAGTTTAAACTCACCGGTTCTTTTAAGAACCACACCCCGTCAAAAAGAGATTGATTCCATGGTATACCCGCAAACCCATTTCTCATCAGCAAACAGACCGCTCTCCATGACGCTGTTATAAAATCAAACAGTAAGGAAAGAGTGTGCAGTGGCCCTGTGAATGCTGATAACAAATCTCATCCCTCTTTGTTAAAAAAAATCTAATTCACGGTAGCAATCTTTTTGGAATAATCCTGAAACCCCCCCAACCCCCCAGCCAGCAAAAGGATAAAATCGACCGATTATCCTTAAACCTTGCTTGCATGGACCGGTTTCCCTTATTTTCTCAGCCATGGAAACACTTCACGTAACCTTAGAAAACAAGCCTCAAAAAACAAAATTCATGGCGGCGGCCGAACTCCACTCCATCAAACTTAAGGCGAAGGGCAACTTGCATGATTACATCCCTTCCCTATACACACACAAGTGTGCATTTGCCTGCAACTGGGGACCATGTATTGTTCCTCTTTCGTTTGAACTTCAACCTTTTTAGAAGACCACCCATATGTTTTGTACACAGTTGTCAAGTGGGCACCCTGTGAATCGGGGACCTTATTGTCCTCTATTGTTCAGGGTCCCCAATTGAATGCAAAAACAAGCTCCTGCTTACTCATAAAAGTGAAGATTTTTTAAATGTACTATCTACATGTATGCACATTTCCATGAAACCCACTACAAGGAATACATTGTGCACAGAGTAATCCACACCGTATCATTTTGGCCCACAATATGGGACCTTTTGTTTCATTTTCCGTTAGGAAAATGAAACAAAAGTTAGGAAAATGACCCAACACAGTTTTCCGTTAGGAAAATGACCCAACACAGAGCAGTGGAAGTTTTCACACATGTGGATACACAAAATGAAGAACTAATTCCATCATTTCTGTGGAAGAATAACAGCCTACATTTAAATACCTGCGAGGAATTAAAAAAAAGCTTCTGAAAACAACAATGAAAAATACGTGACAGACACTTTATAAATTAACAATCACATAAAGCGGACACAATGGGGCGGACATGATGGGCCCGCGGACACAATGGGGCGGACATAATGGGCCTGCGGACACAGTGGGGCGGACATAATGGGCCTGCGGACACAGTGGGGCGGACATAATGGGCCTGTGG